ATGGTTACAGCCCTATCAGACCATTTTTTTTGTTTATATTAATAGGGTGTGGTTTGTAGAGAGCCTAGGCTCTAAGCAATCAAATTACAGCTTAACTTCAAATAGTGTCAAGAAATGTGGTTTTATTTTTCATTTTATTTGTAAAGTTTAAAGCTTCAAAAAAAGTGTAGATCGAGAGATCTATTAAAACTTGAAAATCTTGAAAATTGACAGTAAAAAAGTGCTTTACAAAATACACTATTTCCAAAACTTGAAATTCATGTTTTTCCTAATGTCCATGCATCTTGATGTCGCGACGATCAATTTGAAGATATTTGGGTATCAAAACAACCTTTTTTAGTGAAATTTTTGATATAGCCTCAAATTTTGATTGTTTAGAACCTCGACTTTATGTAAACTTTTCCCATATTAATAATTCTATTGCTCAACATTCTCAGAAGTGTTTCATGACTCGGGATCCTCCCCCTTCTCATATCTCGCCTTCTAAATGGGGGCAGTTCGGGCCCCCTCTTTTCCCCCATCTCTCTCTCTATCTCCGAGAAATCCGTCCGCTATTCATCTCTCCCTTCTTCTCTCTAAGGGGGCCAGACATATGCCCCTGGTTTTAGGGGTGGAAATCCAATGCCCTTTTTTCATCTCTCTCCTCTCTCTTTCGCCTGCCTATCTCTATATTTTTCCTTGTTTTTTTCATTTTTTAGGATTTATTTATTGCTATTTTTCATAAGTCTCCTGAGGTGTACATTACTTGGATGAGTCCACTGGGACTTGGCCAAGTAACAGAACTCGGTTTAGGGTTGAGTCCATGGCCTGAACTGAGTAGGACGAAACAATCTTAGTATTGTTTATCATAGATTAACAATTCTATAAACGTTGTTAATATGAGTGAAAAATCTTTGATCAAAAAACAAAGTGTGAGTGAAAAACCTTGAAAATATAACGTTAAACTTTTTAAACCAAAAGGAAATCAGGTTAAAAACCTGAAAAACTGTTAAAATGTCAAGATAAAAACCCAAAGTGTCCTTTATAAAGATTTTTAAAATTCTAAAAAATAATATAACAAATACTGAAAAATTCCTGAACAATCACACACATGAAAGCTCCTGTTAAAATGGGCAAGAAAAATAGGTGAAAAAACCCTGTAAATCCCAATGAAATATGACAAGAAAATTGTTAGCATTGAAGAACCTTCTTATATGCAAAAACAACCCCCCACTTTGGATCCCATGAGGATCGTGTCTTTAAACGGCTAGAAACAAAATCAGAGTGAATATATACAATAATATGAGAAATAAAATATAAAACACACACACCATAAGATTATAAAGATTTATGTGGTTCACCTCAAAAGTATCGGGCATGACATGACAGACCGAAATTCATTATATACCAATGAGACATATCACAAATTTTGGTACACATAGTTACTTATCTAACCCTCGACAAACTATACCTAAGCAACCTTTTTATACCGGTTCTCACGACTAGCATCTATTTATCTTCATCTCTATTCCACATCTCAATCACTTTTTTGGAAGAGAGCCTTGAAAGAGATTTTTTCTCACTAAAAAGGAGAAACCGTCTAAATTTTTTATGATAACCACTTCTTTACTGAGAAATCAGCATCTCAATTTGCAGGAGGTGCCATCAAAATGTTTCCGTCCATTGAAAGCTTACATATCTCTAAAGGAAGGGTTTGCCTCTTATGCATAAGAGTTTCATGCTCCTTTCTCTTTATAAAATCCACCTTTTCCACATAATAACCCAAATATAGCATATATATTCTTTCCACATTCCACATATACATGTGGAAAATGCTGGTATAGGTCCACTAGCTTACAACTACATATCAGCCAAATGACCTAGATTCAATCTAAACCGATCTGCCGAACATGACCTTATTTCGCATTTGAATTTAAAATTTTTTTCTACAAATCTAAATCATGTAAAATTTTAGGTGTCTATTATTCTCATTAAGGCGCACCTAATAAAAATATAAAAAAAGTATTTCGTAAAATATAAATTGATCAAAATACCCCTGAAATGTTTCGAGGGTATTTTGATTAATTTACTTTTTACGAAATATTTTTTTGATATTTTTATTGGATTTTTCTATTTTTAAAGGACACGCTCAAATCAGGTTGTGTCCGTCAGATCGGCCTAGATTGAATCTAG